CATATGTATCACTAATATAACAGTAGGGGTATACTATATCTAATTCAAACACACAAGTTTTCTAATATGAAGTAAAGTATAATTTTTGTATCCAAAAAAAAGCAGAGGATCTACGAGAAGTTATAATTTTAGGCTAGTAATTCTTCAATAGATAAGAAAATTAAGCTTGTTCGTTTCAAAATCTCTCATATTTCTCTCTCCATACATAATCATTTCAGAAGATCGTCCAAAAAAAAAAACAGAGTGAAATCAAATACTTACTCGAATAACATTACTATGCAACCATATTCATTATATTTTCATGAATAATTCAAATTCAATTTCTTAAGCTTCTTCAAAATCTCTCATATTTGTCTCCCTTCATATACGTAATCATTTCAGTAGATCGTCCAAAAAAAAAACTCAGAGTGAAATCAAATACTTACTCGAATAACATTACTATGCAACCATTTTAATTATATTTTCATGAGTAATTCAAACTCGAATAATCTTCTATACATGTCCTCGATACGAGCTTCGAATAACATAACCAACGTAACGTAACCACATGCATGCATGTGTGAAATATAATAAATATGTATGTATAGGTATAGAGAAAGGAAGAGGTGTGAAGTAGAAACATTTGTGCCATTAAATTACCGGGAAAATGGTTGGTGAATAATATGAGAGACACTATGGCCACTAGATTCAATAACAAGTTTGTTTGTATTTTTATTTTTTTAAATAAGGATAAATATAATATGTGTCCTTTAATTTGTTATGAACTTTTAGAGGAGGGCATGAATAATAAATAATTTTATCTTAATTAACATTAAGATAAAATTGGTTGGTTATGAACTTCTAATATGCATTTCAATTTTTTTTCATGTTTGATTGGTTAAAAATTAAAATTATTACACTCGATCGGTATAGGGTGTGGTTGACACTCACCAAAAAAGTTGTGGTGGAGTGATAAATACGTATTCATCCTTAATCAAATATCTCAGCCTTTAGGCTCAAGAGCCCCTAGCTTGGTGCGAACTTAAATTTAGTCGGACTATAATATAAATATCAAACTCGGATAATATTTTATAAGTGATATTTCAAGTTCATTGTTTCATTTCCACCCTTCACGCCTCTTGACAATCGCCCCACTCCCCACCACCATCGAACCCCACTCTCAACGCTTTTTTACTAGCTACATATAAACATTCTTGAAATAATTTTCCCGTATACTTATCAAACACTAGAAAATAAGTACTCACTTTGTGAAAAAAAATCCGAGTTAAAAAAATTCGAATAACATCTCTTTCCCACCAATAGATCCGGATCACAAAAAACTGACCCGAACTAGAACCCGGTCTAATAACCCGACTCCGAAATGTAAGTATATATAGCCGTTACAGTTTTAACACTTGTAGAAAACAAAAGAACTCCCCATTAACGCTGAAGAAATTCAATACGCCATTGACGCTCTTTATCAAGAAATTCTCATATTGATCTGCTAAAGACGACGCTGCTATTATTAACACTGTTCATTGGTTTATCTCTGTTGTTTCGCAATTTTGCCGTTTTGTATTTGATAGAGTAATTCTCTTTTTTCTGTATCTATGGATGCAGGGAGCAGATACAATAAGTTTCGACCTCCTCTCGTTAATCAGATGTCTCACAAGAAAAGAACTCGAGAGAATGTACGTTTTTAAATTTCATTTACTGTTTTTATTCATTCTGTGTAGTAATTTCTTGGACTGGGTTTTAGAGGATTCTTGTAGTCGAGCCAAATTGAGGTGTGATTAATTGATAAAATTATGAATTGTGATAAATTAGTGTCTCGTTTATTGATTTTGTATGTGGGTTTTGGTGGGTTTTGCGTTTTGTTTAGATTTTGAAAAATGAGGTTTTCATAGAGACGAATTGAGGTGTAAATGATGATTGATTGATACGTAGATTCTGGGATCTTGAATTTGATGTATATTAGTGTCTCCTTTTGAATTTTTGTTTTTGTGGGTTTTGAATTGTCGTTTAAATTTTGCAAATTGGGGTTTTCCACTATGCAATCTTAATTATGAATATAATGTTGTTTGATCGGCTTTCGCTATATATTTTTCCAGTTTTATCAGTTAAGTATGCTAAATGGTGTGGTGGATGTGGTTAGCTGATGACTTGTACTTTCGGGTATCGAATTTTGATGATGGTTTTACTTCATTATTTAGGAGAAAGAGGTTGCACCGGGTATGTTGTTGTTGTTATTAAGAGAAAGAGGCTAGGTGAATAAGCTGTTGAAAATTTATTGGTGATGTGTCAATCAAACTTAGGAAACTGGAACAGGGAAGATAGGTAAAAGGCTGCCGATTTTACTTTTTTGAGCTTTCATTAATCAGTCTAGAGAATATTTTGGACTAGGTGTTTTAACATGTAAGGATGTCAGCTCTTTGCATCATGTCATCCTGGTTTTGGTTGTATTTCTAATGATTGTTTTCGTTGTTTTAGAGTGTCAGTGTTGAGTGGTGTTTTGATATTCATTATATGAGATTTGTTGTAAGGTTGGATTTTAAATGATATGTTTGTGAAAATGCAGCTGGACAGGTTTATACCCAATCGTTCTGCGATGGATTTTGACTATGCACATTACATGCTCAGTGGTGGGAAGGTTAAAAAGGAACACTATGGAGTAAATTCTCCATCTAAAGAAGCTTACTCGAAGCAGTTAGCAGAAATTTTCAACATGAACAGAACGAGGATCCTTGCTTTTAAGAATAAGCCTCCACATTCGGCTGAGAGAGTTTCTGAATCTCCATCATCTATACAACAGCCAAAAACCGTTAAAAAGAGGAGATACATTCCCCAAGTGAGTTTTTCTTTCTTCCCCATTTTACTTCTTTTTTTTTTTTTTTTTTGCATCTGCCCATGCTAACCATACTTATTGTATTAGTGTACATAAATGTTTCATCTTGGGGTTTGTTCCTAACTTGGAGAACTCCTTTCTTGTTAACAGTCTTCGGAGAGGACCCTGGATGCTCCTGACATCCTAGATGACTTTTATCTCAATTTGTTAGACTGGGGAAGCAATAACGTAATTGCCATTGCCTTAGGAAATTCTGTATATCTATGGGATGCTTCTGATGGGTCTGTTACTGAGCTTCTCACGGTTGATGATGATTTTGGGCCGGTGACTGCTGTCAGCTGGTCACCAGATGGAAGAAGCCTTGCAGTGGGCTTGAATAATTCACACGTTCAGCTGTGGAACACCTTGCAGGGATCTAGCCGATTGGTGAGTAGTTTCTTTCGTCTTCCTTCTTATAATCTAATTATTATACAACAAATTACGTAGAAATCAAAATATCCAGAGAATTTATCTTTAATTTACTTTATCAGAAGTCTAACATCTTGCCTTTATACACAGCTGAGGACTTTACAAGGACACAGATTAAGGGTTGGCTCACTCGATTGGAATGGACACATACTGACAACTGGGGGCATGGACGGTATGATCATCAACAATGACGTGCGTATAAGATCTCACATAGTTGGAACATATAGAGGACACAATCAGGAGATATGTGGATTGAAGTGGTCTGCTTCAGGCCAGCAATTGGCTAGTGGAGGGAACGACAATTTGGTCCATATATGGAGCATATCGATGGGGTCTGCTAACTCAACACACCAATGGGTTCACCGTATGACAGATCACACTTCTGCTGTAAAAGCTCTTTCCTGGTGTCCTTTCCAGAGTAATATGGTCGCCTCAGGCGGTGGCATTGGAGATCAATGCATAAAGTTTTGGAACACCAATACAGGGGCATGCTTGAATTCTGTCAATACAGGTTCACAAGTCTGTTCCTTGCTTTGGAACAGACATGACCGCGAGCTTTTGAGTTCTCATGGCTTTATTGACAACCAGCTTGCTGTTTGGAAATATCCTTCTATGACGAAAATTTCTGAACTTCTCGGTCACACATCAAGAGTTCTTCATATGGCTCAGGTATGATTGGTTGACCAAAAATATCACATTGTGTTCGTTTATGCTCATATTTCGCGGTGCTTTCACAGTTTACTGACTTTTCGTCTTGACATATTTCAGAGCCCGGATGGCTATACCGTGGCGACTGCAGCAGCTGATGAGACACTAAGATTATGGAATGTTTTTGGGAATCCTACAGAGACAAAGCCTGTGCTAAAGAGAAAGCTAGAACCATTTTTTGACTTGGCTCAGATTAGATAAACATCATATCATAATGTATTATTTGTATAATTTTCATTTCAATTTGTAGGATCCTTACTGATTCATTTATTTGTATTCTTTATTAGTAAGAATCCTTACTAATTCATTTCATTTATTTGTATTCTTTATTCTCAAGAATTCTTACTAATTTATTTATTTGTCCTATTTATTTGGAAGAATCCTTACTAATTCATTTGTTTGTATTTTTATTAGTAAGAATCCTTTCTAATTCATTTATTTGTATTCTTTATTCAATTTATTTATTTGTGTTCTTTATTACTTCATGCATAATCATCTTTTTTAATCGAGAAACATATAAATTGTTATCAAGATGAAAATTATCAACATACGAAATTATAAGTAAATTTTTATTTAATATCTCTATTTATTTTAGTTTTTAAATATAACTTCATAGTTGATTATTATATTTTGTATTCTTCAATTTTTTTCACCTTTAGAATATAAATATAATTAACGCTTTGAAGAAGAGAAAATAATGAAAGAAACTTTAGGATATTTCAAGTAGAATTCTCCATAATATTGGATGAATGAATGTCTTCATTTTTTTTTAATTGCTTTTTTTCGGCCACTATATAAAATGGACATATATAAATTTTCTCTCTTCTTCCTCATTGACTATATGTCTTATTATTTCATAAACTTTATCCCTACCCTTTAAAAAATAAAATACAATCATATGAACATTTTAATTATTCTTTTTTTTAAAAGATAATAAAAAGGAGAAGATATGTTTGCATCAATTGGACCACAACAAAAACAAAGAAATGGCCCCCCATACCCCAAGGTCCCCTCAAATATCAACCCCTACATCCTTATTCCCATGTCCCAATGCTTCCCTTAACCTCAACACTCATAAAAACAGTCTTTCATTAACTTAAACTCCTCATCCTTCCATTGTTAATACACAATGTTAACCTTCAAATCTCCATTTGATTAGTTCTTAATCACTACTTAATCCAAAAAAAAAGAAAAAAACTCATTAACAAGTACTAGTACACTATTCTTTCTCTCTTCACTTTTTTTTTCTCTCTGTTCTTCTTGCAGGTTTATCCAAAACCCTAGATCTGTCCCCCTTTTGGGTAACCCCAACAACCTCTACTCCCCAACCCCCTCACCACCCCACTCCCACACTCAAGAAACACGAAAAAAAAAAGGATTTTCTTGATTATTTTTTGTTCTTTCTGTTTGAGCATTTACAATATGTTTGTATATTAACTGATGTTTGTTTTCATTTTTGGGTGCAGCTTTTGGAAGAAAAGGGAAAAGGGTGTGTAAAATAAGCAAAAAGGTGAAGTCTTTTTTTGGTTCTTGGAGGAGATGAGTGGGACCTCAACGACATCAGTGGTGGGGGTGGGGTTGGTGGGAGGTGGAGGGGAGGTGGGGTATAATGATTATGGATTCCGGCCACCGTTTACGGCGGTGCAGTGGCAGGAATTGGAGCATCAAGCTATGATTTATAAGTATTTAGTAGCTGGGTTGCCTGTGCCACCGGACCTAGTAGTACCTATTCGCAGGAGTTTTGATGCTATCTCAGCTAGGTTCTTCAGTCATCCTAGCTGTAAGTTTCTTCTTTCTTTTTCTGTTCAATTTTTTTTTTTTTGGATTTGTTTGTTTGTTTGTTAATTAGATTGTTGTGTTGTAGTTATAGAGCATTTTATGGTGTTTTGTCAACGTGAAGCTTACTGTAATTTGATGGTGAAATTGGAGCATGTAGATCTAGGACTTGTGGTATTGCATTAAAGATGTACATAATATGTACCAAAATGATTTTTAATGTTTTAGATGGAAAGTTGAAACTAAAGAGTTGCCAAAAGGGGAAAGATACGTTCTTTATTAAACGGACTAAAATGGAAAGACAAACAAAAGGAAACAGAGGGAGTATTACCTTTAAAGATGAAGAAAAAATAATGAACTGCCATCCCTTTGTTTTGATCCTAAAATCTTGGATGGAGGAATACTATTACTTTTAAAAGTATTTCTATTAGAGGTAGAAGCATTCTTCCTTCTAGCGCAGCTTTCTAGAGGTAAGAGTGCAAATGCATGATGTGTGACTTCGTTGCTCATCATAGGATCGAACCTTATGTACAAAGGCTTAGGATTTAAGTGGAGAAGGATAGGGATAGAGGAGGCTATCCACCTAGTTTCGAACTGTCTGTTACTGCCCTCGGGGATTTCTCGGTTACATGAAAACATTGTTCTTTTTTCTTATGGTTTGTTAATTTTAGTCTATTATCCATCTAGTTTTAACCGTGCGTCCCTCGTGGGTTTCTCATAGTTTTACATCTGTATTAAATTTCAATGACTTCATCATGTAGTACTTTATTAAGGTTGTGCTTAAATGTCAACGTCTGTTACAGAAATTCCAGTCTCATAGAATTTGATGGCAGTATAGCTATCGAAATTCCATGATACTGGATGCAATACCAATAAATTCTGGCCGTTCTTGATTCAAAAAAAAAATTGCATTTTTCATGATAAAGTTCTTTCTTTTTTTAGTTGGTGATGATGGGCTTGTAATGTAAATGTGGTAATGTATTTTACATGTGCAGTGGGTTATTGTTCCTATTATGGGAAGAAGTTTGACCCCGAGCCAGGAAGATGTAGAAGGACAGATGGAAAGAAGTGGAGGTGCTCCAAAGATGCACATCCTGACTCCAAATATTGTGAACGACACATGCATCGTGGCCGCAACCGTTCAAGAAAGCCTGTGGAATCTCAAACTACTTCCCAGTCCTTGTCGACAAGTAAATCACACACTGCTACTGGGAGCAGCAATAGAAGTGGAAGTTTCCAAAGCAATAGCAGTGGAAGCTTCCAAAATATGCCATTATACTCTGTCGCTAATTCAGATGGAATAAGTTACGGAAGCACCACCACGAAACTGCAGATGGAGCCCGCCTCCTATGGGATAACTAATAAGGAGTATAGGTACATCCTCTTTCTCCTCTATGGTTCATGTTCTCCTTAAATAGATTTTTTCTCACTGTCTGTGCAACTTGGAGCCTCGGAACTACGGTAAAGTTATCTTTATGTGACCTATAGGTCACGGGTTCAAACAGTGGTGCTTGCGTTAGGATACGCAACCTGCACTACATCCCATTGTGGTGCAGCCGTTTTCCCGGACCTTGCGTAAACGTGGGTTGTGGGATACTTCGTGCATTGGTCTGCCCTTTACTGGTACTGCACCTTGATTATGTGACTCTATAAAAGAGCTCTCAAGTAGTTGGCATGTCATTTTTGTCACTTCATCTAAATTCTTGTGCCGCTTTGCATAAAATCTTGGTGTTTTGCCACATAACTGTTTAATACTGTTTTCAAGTGACAAAGTCTTCTGCTCCTATATTCTGTGTTTTTTATTGCTGATGAAAGATAGTGTGACTGTCAATCCTTCTTTTTTTGCCCAATTGTTTCAAACTTAACTGTCAAGTAGGGGAGATATTCTTCTCTCCTATATTCAGTTACCATCTTCCCTTTGTAAAACTGTTTTAGGTCCAAATTATCTTGCATAGAACAGTGAAAAGACTAGTAATCATGAGTTGCTAATAGGGGATATCACTAATTATGATGTTATCTCAGATCTTATCTTATCATCTACTTCATTTATTTGAGCTCATAAACTATAGCACAGTTAGAATCCTTTAAAAAATGGTGGTTGTCAATAAAATCTCATTAATTTAATGAAAGTATATCTTGTTCTTTTAAGCCCTTCTCTTAAGATGATGTTCGCTCTTCACATAGGGTATTAAGTACTGTTGGAAGTTCCATGTATGTTTTCTTGTTACTGCTCAGTGAATATGTCTGATATGGTGTATTGTTGGTCTTGCATTTGGTGTAAATGGCATAAAATCCAGTTTCATGAAATGCTACACAGGTACGGAATGGCTCCTGATGTTGATGACCACAATTTCATGCCAGTAGCTTCCACGAGTGTGAGAGGACTAGGAGGTACGGGTTCTAACACAGACAACATGTGGCGTTTGATGCCATCACAAGATCATTCAAAGGCCAATCTGAAAAATGATTCCCAGCTGTTGGGTAGTTTACCTAATCCGTTTGAGCCTGTGATTGAATCAAAACAGCAACCCCAACATTGCTTCTTCAGCAGTGACATAGATTCACCTAGTACAGTAAAGCAGGAGCCACAGCATCCAATGCGTTCATTCTTTGACGAGTGGCCTACATCGAAAGAATCATGGTCCAATCTCGACGAGGGATCGGGCAAAAATAATTTCTCCACCACTCAGCTCTCCATATCCATTCCAAATATTTCTTCTGGATTCTCTTCAAGGAGTGCTTCTTCCCCTAAATGGTGAAATTTCAGCATCTTTATCAAACTCTCTGTCCCATTATAGTTGCAAGTAAGTGTTCCTAGCAAGCTTAACGTTACACTTTGTTTTTTTCGCCAGTGCAGATGCTTGAGGAAACTGCGACTGCCTCAACTCTTAGCGCAGTCTGGTGCTATGCAGAGGAATGGTTGTCCTAGTGCTGAACTCCCGGCATAGCAGTAAAAGCAAGACATGTAAGTGGATCGACTCAACAAGTTGTAACCGCTACTTGTATGAGCTTACATGTACTTCTAATATTACTGGTGCATTTAGTCCTTGCATTGTGTTTGTAGTTGTATTTCATTTTCAATACTCTTCTTAAGCAAAAATTATATGGCTTACAAGACAAGTATTGTGCACAAGCTTGCCATAAAAAAATAATGTATTTATTCAAGTTGCTGGATGAGATGATTAATTTTGTGTGCTCCTACTGTGGGAGACAAACCAATTTTATGCTGGAAATCGTCTCCTTGAATATGTGGTTAAAAATGATATGTTGTTGGGGTCTCTGTTGTATCCTCCGAAAAAAATACCATCAACATTTTTAAAGAGATCGAGCAACCTATTGCATTTCAATAGAATGTAAAAACTTTGGTTGATTTCATATATATATATATATATATATTATATAGGTTTTGATATGTAGAGTTACTCGATACTTATATTGATAGGAGATAGTGGATATACCATAAAATTAATCAAGATGTGTATTTAATAGGTTGGTTTAACTTTTCAATTAATGTAAAATCATGGCTTGATTTCAAGTATATATGACATAGTTATTTTAGTACTTGTATTTGTCAGAGGTAGCGAGCAAGATGCATACAAATTGATTAAGACACTACAATTGTAAAATAGGAATGTTAGTTCGAACTTTCTATTGGGATGACGAAAGTAACAAAATTGGCCACTTCAAATTCATTACTCCGACCCATAATAAGATTAATCCAACATCGCCTATATGAGCCCCTAGTAGTTTACCGGATAAGTCAGGCATTCCCGGCCCATCAAGCGAAACCTGTGGTTTCTTGGTCATGACCGACTTTTGCCTTATTTTAACTAAAGGTGGTTTCTTGGTCATGACCGACTTTTGCCTTATTTTAACTAAAGGTGGATATGGAATATCGGTATTATATTCATTTGAATTCAATATGCTTTATTTTAACCAAAGGTGAATATAGCATGCATGGCAATACCATATTCATTCAAACTCAATATTTTCGATCATTTATCACTTAATTATGATAAATTAATATTGTCTGTAGTAATAAATTTTCTCCATACCAAACACTGAAAAACAAGGTTAAGCACATATTTTTTTTTTTTACATTTTTAGTTCGATAGCTTATGAATAAAAATAAATAAATTCCCCATACATTTTTATTTTTGAGAATTGTGAACATTTCATTTTGATGGGTTTAATTGGAGACAACATGTTGGTCAATACAACATTGACTAATTTTCTCATTCTTTTTGACTGATATATAAGAAGACTTGGAAAGCCAGGTCTTAAAAATCATCAAAATTAATAATTTTTGTTGCAAATAAAGTGCTAAATTTGGTTCAATATTTTTTTATTTTGAAAATTTTTTCCTTTGAACAAATCAATTGGATTATGTATAATCTCTAGCTAATATCAATATGTTATATAATTTTGATTGTACACCAATATTTATAAATTTTTACATCAATAGCATCTAAAACAGCTTATGTGTATCTTAATTATTTAATAGATATTTGTTATTACCACAAATTTAGATAACTATGCACATCAAAAATATAGACAGATAAAATAAAATCACCCATCAACATTTTTCCTTTTTATCTAATCCCCCATTATTGTTTTTCCAAGTCATTGACCACCCTTAAATACTAGTACTTTATTTATTAACATATTTAAATTACTCAAATTATTCTTTTTTTGGCTAATGTGGAATACTATATTACTCCATGTGGATGGAGATATTAAATAGGAAAAAATGTTTATCATATTAGTAGTGCCATTTTGTCAGAAATGGTGTTGACAGTGGGACCCCCCAAAAAAGCATAAATATTATATAAATACATTATTCATATCGTAATCTCTAAAATATCTTACTATTATTAAAAATTATAAAAATGACTTCTAGTGTATTCTACCGCCTCTTGAATACATCCTTCTCTCCTCTCGAAATCATCACATTGCCCTCACAGACACATTCCTCTAATTATGTAATTGTACCATTCGCAACTCATGAGCTATATGTCCACAGATTTTTTAATGTATCTGAGATTCTGTAAATTAAATTGAGAAAGGATAGAGAGCATACATAACTAGCTCTTAACACTTTCAAAAATTTTTGTTACAAAAATGATAGAAAACGAGTTTTTACATAAGAAGTGAAATTAATGTCATGTAATGAGGAAATCACTAGCTTAAGTTACAAAAACAAACCTATTGATATAATACAAGATAAAGTTACCTTGTATTATTTCAATAATACAAGATAAATGTAATACGATATATTTTTGTAATACGTTTGATCCTTTCTCAAATTTTATGCATAATCATTTTTCCATAAAAGAAGAAAGAGAGATGAATGCATTGTGGATCGTATTTTCAATAATTGTACCAAACTTTGTCATCTTTTGTCAATCATGTTCATAAGTTCTTTTTCAAAGACTTTACTTAGGAATCCAAGTAATATTTGCCTTCTACTTTTTTAAAATATGATGTGAGTAGAATAATTTCACTTTCATTTGCAAGTTTGCTGGAACCCATGATACTTTTTATAGTGGTGGGATTTTTATGGCTTAGACAATGACTGAGCTATCGTATATTTCTATTATATATAGAATTCTAGGTCGCCTTATATGGTTATTTTCAAAATTATTCCTTTTTTTTTTATGAAAAGATGAGATTTTTATAAAAAAAGTTGTGACTTTTATGAAAAATTATGACTTTAATGAAGAGTTACGATTTTTATTAGAAACTGTGATTTTTATAAAAAATTGTGTCTTTAATGAAGCGTTGCGACTTTATGAAAAGTTGTAAATTTTATGAAAGGTTGTGAACATTTCGAAGGGTTGCAATATTTTTCAAAAAGTTGTAACATTTCTGATAGGGCGTAGTAAACATTTGTTCACACGACCCTTTGTTGTCTATAAATACAGGGATTTTCTCTCATTTTAAAACAACAAAAATTATGATCTTCTTCTTCTCTTCCGCAAAATGAAATATTTGTGTACTTTGCTCCTGTTGAGTAACTCACTGATACTATTTTTGTATCAATAAGTTGATGAATCGAATCGTTTCATCCAGAGAGGATGTAACCTCTGGTATTGGAGGGGAATAGTTTTTTTAAGGGGACATTGTGCATTCAGTGAATTTAATTTTTTTTCTTTATATTTCATTCTATTTTTACATATCATGATATATTTTTTTACGCTCATTAATTTATGCTTATGATATTAATTATTATTTTTGAGTACATATTTTAAATTTTATTATTTATATTTTTGCAAAATTAATATCTCCAATTATATTGAATATATACACATATAATACACATATTTATTAATTATTATACTCAATTCTAAAAATTTATGTTTTGATATCAAACATCTTGATAAGCTATCAAAGTCATATGGAAATTAGTAAATTATTGTCTTCTAAATTTTAAAAAGAGACGATAATAATTATCAATTACGTATCTAAATTATGTTCGAGTTTTATGACATCATTGGAATCACCCCTCCAATAACTATCTGATTTTTTTTTAAAAAAAATATAGCATATGTAAAACGATGTTTCTGTATTTATTTGATTCTTGAATATTCGCTTTATTTATTAAATTTGAAACTTTGTGATAATAGCTATTTTTGAGTTAGTGGACTGAAAAGTGACTATTTAATTTGTAAATTTTATCTATTCAGAATTCGATAAATAATGCATTTATTTCTATATCCTTCTTCACTGAAATATCATACTTTTAATTGTTTGAAATTATCACGTGTATCTAATCCACACATCTCCGGTCTCACTACTCTACCAAGGCACAGGGGTTGTTAATTATGTTACAAATTAGAATGTATTAGTAGTAAAATTAGGTTTCTATAATCCCAATTCTTTGTCATGATTTACTCTTTTATCAAACAACTTCCCTATTTGGTGTTTCTTAGTCCTTTGAGAGCAAGAAGGGTCCATTTCCAAAAAAATAATGGATGTTTATTTGACTCATAAAGCCACATAAAATTATATTGTTTGAATTTCTCAAAAACACAAAAAGCTACTTGAAAAGGATAGTTTTTTTTTTTAAAAAAAGGTAGTTTTAATTTGTGGACATACTTTACTGTTTGAATATTTATTTTTTAGGCATAATATTAGATGTACCGACCCATTTCACATTTATGTTTTTCAATTTTAGGTTTGGCACAAGTAGACATTTAAATTTGTATAAATTTGATCAAGTAGACATATGAGTTCTACGTGACACGATATATGTAAGACACCACCTAGGACAAAAAATGACATGTGTATTTATTTGATCAACTTTATACAAGTTTAAGTGCATGCTTGTGCGTTGAAGGGAGTTTATACTATTGGTTTTGATAGTTAGCTTTATACATCATTAGCAAATAGTTATCTTGTGAGATCAACAATTTTTGAGAAAAAAAATGGCTGAATCTGCTGTGAAAATCTTGCTAATGAGCATAGAGTTTGTGCTTGACAATCCAGGATATGTGATTGGAGGAGTTCGTCACGAAATCTCAAAGGTGAAACTTGAGCTAGAGAGCATAGGTTCATTTATAAAAGATGCAGAGAAGTGTAAAAACCAGAATGAAGGGGTATGTATTTGGGTGGTACAAGTGAGGAACGTAGCGTTTGAAGCTGAAGATATAATTGATGAGTTCTTGTATCATGTGGATAGCATGAAAAGAAGCGGTTTTAGAGGGCGTCTAGCTGGTGTATTTTACATTCCAAAGTTACTGTGGTTGAGGTATAAAACTGCCCTGGAGTTGAAGAGAATCAGATCTGAGATTATAGACATTGCAAAACGAAGCAAGAGGTATGATCTAAGTCACATGGAAGCATCCTCGAACGCTGGATCAAATTCACTAAGTTGTTGTAGTTGTGTGCAAAATATTGGAGAATCTTCACTCTTCATTCAGAATGATGAAGTTATAGGGATCGATAAAGTGAAAGACTCGTTGCTGTCAAGTTTGGAGAGAGAGGAGGCTCACCGTGTTGTCATTTCTGTCGCGGGCATGGGTGGTTCAGGTAAGACAACTTTAGTTGCGAAAGTCTATACTAGCCTGACTGTGAGGAAGAACTTTGACTGTTGTGCTT